GCTCCCCTCTGACAAATATCCTCTATAACCCTAACCTGCCAGACAATATGGCCATATCCCGGATGTCTCTTTGGGTGTATCTAACCTTTTTCAATTACGTCACTTGGTACATCCGGTGACTCGTAAATTACATTCATTCCCGGATCTCCAGAAAAAAGCTTCTTTACCTCCTCATCACCTATATATATATTTCCAAAATACGCCATTTTTTCTCTACTTTATCATCCTCATTGATTCTGGGGAAGCCTACACCCTTCGAACGTTTATGTATGCAGGGCCCCCACCAAAGGGGTATCATCTCCAATACTTATAAAATTCTTCTGGACGCATCCCCTTTATCTAATGAAACTCACCTTTATATGCGTAGGTGGTCTCAGTTTGTACAACGTGATATTGATTTACTAACGTGGAAGAATATTTGGGTAAATGCATCTAAATCTTCTGTCTGTGTGGTTTTTAAGGAAAACATTTACAAGATTATGATGTTATGGTACAAAACACCTGAGGTTCTTCATGCTTTCAACCCGAGTGCTTCTCCTGTCTGCTGGCGCTGTGGTAGGGATTCTGGTTCTCTCTATCATATTTTTTGGACTTGAAATTCTATTGTTCCTTTCTGGGAGGAAGTCCGCTCCTTGTTGCAATCAATGCTGCATGCCTCGCTCCCTTTTGACCCTCTGCATTTTTTGCTAGGCTTGCCATTCCCGGGTCTATCTAAACCAGCCAGAAAACTTGCTGCTCATGTGCTGACCGCGGCCAGGAGAAGTATTCCTATGGGTTGGTTATCTTCTACTCCCCCTACAATGCTGACTTTGTACAAACTTATTGCTGAAGTAAGACGGATGGAGTATTTGACTGCCTTACATAATTGTTCATCTGCTGTATTTGAGTTGATTTGGCTCCCGTGGGATTCCTTCATTTCCTCTTTGCCGGCCTGAATCTAAGATCCTGATTGTTTCTGCACTGATTTTGTATGACTCTGTATGACTCTATTGGACTTGATTATGTGTAGTTATGCCATCGATGTTTTTTTCTGTTATGTGTTTATAAGTTTACTTATTTGAAAACCAATAAAAATTGTTATTACAAAATCAGTAATCCTTAGTATAAATCATATATGCATGAAAAAAGTTCTAAAACAATAGAGATCCGTGTGACTTCATATGTTTCAGTGCAAATTTCCTTCAAATAGTTAGGTGAGAGGCAAGGTAATGGGTAAAATGCGCACTCACCGGACGCGCAATGGTAATGCGCAGTGTATAGTATAGTGGAGGTCTGCCAATGGGTCCCTCCCAGCATAGGAATGGGATCGACCCAGGATAAGTAGATGTTATCAAGATATATTCAACCGGAGGTCCCCTTTAAGGACACGGGTGCAGCCTCTTCAGTGTGGTACAGTGGTCACCAGGGGGAGCTCTGGGGGATTAGGTGCTTGGTAAAGAGCAAAAGATAGAAAAGCTCATAGTGTAGTAGACTCAAATAATGTTTAATGAAAAGTAAAATAAAAAAGGTATTTCCATACATGTGGATGTGTAAACATACACCGGAAATATTGCGATAACCATAAACAATCAAATGACAACCACAGGGTTGCTATGAGCACTAACCAGCAGGTTTGATTATAGGGCCGCCGGACCTCCTTGATCCGGCGGCGTGACGTCAAGGCTTGCAGGCTCCTCCAAAACGCGTTTCGTACGCATGTACGTCCTCAGTTGGGGTTTCCATGCAGCCTAACGTCTGATGTGATCTATTTATAGCTTTAAAATGGCGCCCGTGTGCTATCGGGCGCCATTTTGCCGGAGATCAGCGCGAACCGTGCATGCGCAAAATGGCAGCCGTCGGACGGACTGCGCATGCGTGGGACGGCCGTGGCCATTTTCCATTAGTCCAAAAGTCAATGGGAAGAAGTGAGCTGGTAAATACACATATCCCAGCGTCACAATAACCAGCCTGTCACAGATAGGCACAGGATCAATATTAATATTTGGGTTTTTACATATACATTCTACATAGCTTTTATTCCCAAGTATATTGCTTGGATTTTCTGTATGATACTGGGCCTTCAGCCCACTCTCAGATAGGCATAATTAATATTTTAATAATTTGGATTTTTTAAGATTGTTTCATTTAATTTTATCTTCTTCACATCATATATATATATATATTTTTTACCTCTCCAGCTATTGCTGTGATTCATTAAAGTTTGACAATTCTTCTTTTTTCCTTCTCCTCTACACAGAGGTTTTCTTTGAACTTTGGGTATTTCCCCATACAGATTTGGCTATATGCTTACATCAATCTTGATCCTGTGCCTATCTGTGACAGGCTGGCTATTGTGACGCTGGGATATGTGTATTCACCAGCTCACTTCTTCCCATTGACTTTTGGACTAATGGAAAATGGCCGTGGACGTCCTGCATCTCCCCCCCCCCCCAAATCACACACATATACACACAACCACTCTTACCTTCTTTGTCAGCAAAAATCCTACATGGCTTGTGACAGTTCTAGCAGTTATGTGGTTATTCAGTCCATTTTGTTGAGTTGCTAGGCTTCAGCGAACTGTTTATATGTGGGGTCTTTTTCTCATAGCCCTTATTGGAGAATTCATTTCCCTTGAAGTCTGCAATTACACAGTTTATGGAGCAAGTGCCATGCATGCTTAATGAAGGGGTCAGAACAACCATCTAAGCTGTAATAGTCTGTGGCCAATGGAGAAGATTAAAAGACTATCTGAGGCCGGTACTAATAGTTTTATATGGAGTGCGGTGGGGGGCAGTTGGCCCCAACTCAAATAAATAGGGTAACAGTTGTTCAGGTTCCAGTTAGCAGTTCAAATGGAAAGTCAAAATCATTATTTAATGTTTAGTTTAGAAAATATAAAATTAACTACCATTGTGTGCAAATAATGTACAAAGAAGAACTGAATCTGTTGCACAGTAATATCATGCTGAATTATAATACTTCAGTTTAATATGTGTTTTCACTTGCTGAAATTATACAACAAAAGGCACGTGTCAAACCACTTTTTTAAACAACAAACAAAAATCCTGTGGTCAAAAATAGGTTTCTTGAAAATAGCATTTACAAATAAATATCATTCCTCAGAAGTCTATTCACTTGAATACAAGTGCTTTCACATCTTCTAAAATCCTCTACTCTCTTCTCCTGAAAAGTTCATCCAAATTTGTATGGCTATTTTAAGGTTTCAGAAATGTCTGTTTGCAATGCACCATGAAGATAAAAAAAGATTATTTCCTACGTAGGTTTTATTATTCCCTTTAAAATAGTAATGTTTATTTGAAAAGGCTCAGTAAAATATTAGTTACAAATGCAGCTTCCGTATTTTAGTCCTGCAAATATGTGTCAGGCAGATGTCTTGTGCAATGTAAAAAACTCCAAGATACATAAATATAATAAATTTGCACATCACATCTGAGTCACTGAAACATTCAATAAAAATTTCAAATGATGGAATATGATCACAAAAAGCTTTAAACGAAATGAATGATGATTGAAAGCCTTTTGATTTTAAAGTGTATACTCTTACTCTAAGTGCTCTAGCAGACTATCTAGAAAATTCAATTGTTTCATGTAAAATGTTTGCTGCCCAAAATTATATGAAATCTTAATGTCTCAATAGAAACAGGGTATTAAATTGCTTACTGGGCGCCAAATGTCAAAAAAATCTAATTTTGCAAAGGCTTTTCCGCATATTGTCTAGCAGAGTATGGAGAATTGAAAAAAGGAAACATTTCATGAATGCTCTCAATTATGCTATTTATTCATCCTGCATTTATTTTTATATAGCATACACACAGATTGCGTAGACCAGATATAAAAGAGTTAGATGGTAAAGAAAATCTAAAACATAAAAATTCAAAGCTGCTATTGAAAATCATTAGACGTTACATCAACAAGATATTATTTGAGATGTGTGAAAAAAATTTAATTATAATTCACACAGCTTTCACTCAAGATTCACACATTTTTTACAATTAAATTCATTTAGAAAAATATGTTAATCTTGGGTGAAATTTGTATACATTTTGTTTGAAATCATTTATAAATAGATCCCTAAAAGTGTATTTTAGTGAATAAATTGTACACCTGAAATCTCAAACAATGAAATAGCATTTGTACACTCAGTATGTAAAACAACATTAAAGATACCATGTTACCAAAAAATTGCAGTAAAAGCAACAACAATCACAGATTTAAAATGTTTACTTGCAGTGTTTTATATTATATCCATTTTTATTTTTCCGTCCATGAGACCTGATTCACATTGGGGTTGATTTACTAAAACTGAAGAGTGCAAAATCTGGTGCAGCTGTGCATGGTAGCCGATCAGCTTCAAACTTCAACTTGTTTAACCACTCGCCTACAGGGCACTTATACCCCCTTCCTGCCCAGGCCAATTTCCAGTTTTCTGCGCTGTGTCACACTTTGAATGACAATTGCGCGGTCATGCAACACTGTACCCATATGAAATTTTTTTCATTTGTTTGTGACAGATAGAGCTTTATTTTGGTGGTATTTAATCACCTCTGGGTTTTTTATTTTTTTTTTTTAAACAAACCAAAAACCACTGAAAATTTTGAAAACAAAATTTTTTCTTTTGTTATAAAATTTTGTAAATAAGTGATATTTTTCTCCTTCACTGATGTGCGCTAATGAGGATGCAGTGATGGACACTGATAGGCTGCACTGATGGACACTGATAGGTGGCACTGATGGGCACTGATGAGGAGGCACTAGTAGGTGGCACTGATGGGCATTGACAGGCATCACTGATGGGCACTGAAAAGCAGCACTGATATATGGCACTGATAGGTGGCACTGATAGGTGGCACTGATAGGCGGCACTGACTAGCACTGTTAGGTGGCACTGACTGGCACTGTTAGGCGGCACTGATAGGCAGCACTGATGGGCACTGATAGGCGGCACTGATGCACACTGATAGGAGGCACTGACTGGCACTGATAGACGGCTCTGACTGGCACTGATAGGTGGCACTGACTGGCATTGATAGGTGGCCCTGACTGGCAGATCTGATGGGCACTGATATGTGGCATTGATGTGCACTAGTAGGCACTGATATGTGACATTGATGTGGCACTGATGGGCACTGGCAGGTGGCATGAATGTGCACTGAGAGTTGGCACTGATGGACACTGACAGGTGGCACTGCTGGGGCCACACTGATCATCAGAGCACACTGATCATCAGTGCTCTGATGATCTGTGTACATGTCCCCTCTGAGGAATGCCGATTACTGGCTCTCCTCTCTTCACGAGCTGTCAGCGTGACAGCTCGTGAGGAGAGAAATGCCGATAACCGGCATTTCCCTGTTTACATGCGATCAGCTGTGATTGGACACAGCTGATCACATGACCGAGCTGACATCTTTGGCTCTTTCCGTGGATCGGTGATCCGCTGTGTCCGAGGGACACAGCGCACTGCCGATTGCCATGCTGCGTGCTCCCGGAGCCGCGCATGCGTGGTTAGAATGGGAGGACGTCATATGACGTCCTCCCAGAACGAGAGAACTGCCTTGCGTCTGTCATTGGACTATATGGCGGGCGGGAGTCGGTTAATTAAGCTTTGATTTTAAAAAAGATCCTGGAAGCTGATTGGTTTCTATGCAGAGTTGCACGAGATTTTGCACTCTCCAGTTTTACTAAACCAACCTCATTGTCTCATTGGGGTAACACATGCTGTTATGTATATTAGTGCATTGATGTGCCATTCTTTCTGAATATCACTTCAACACAATTTTCCAATGAAAGTGCATTGAAGAGCAGTGTAGTGGGGGACTGCAAGCATTTCTCATTGTTCTTTGACGACTAGTACTAGCAAACTAATAACTCCATCACTTGTATACATGGTATATAAACTCCCACTGATAGGGTAGAATGCTGATTGCAATATTTTCTTATTTCATTGCTACAGTATACTGTAACTAGAGCCTAGTATTTCCTGAAGGGTTGCTGCAGCTGATCATTTCAGCATGACAGACTTTCCATACCACGCTCTGCACTTCTTCAGTGTGGTGATGTCCATCCTGGTAGAGGAAAACAGTTTTGGTTCCTCATGTCAGATCCACTCTCTGATAGAGACTATGTAGAGGGAGAAGAAGGATCAAGAGGCAGCAGGAGCAATGAAGGAGGTTGATTTCTGATAATTACCTGGATCATGTTGAATTCAGTAGGAGCAAGGAGATCCTTGCACTGCAGGTACAGCTTACTATTCAGCAGCGCCCCCAGGAGAACAGTGAGCAGTACAATAGTAGCTCCAACACTCAGCAAGATACTTCATATCTCTCCGAATTTAGAATATCAGGCATTAGTCAAAAGAGGGTGTAGAATATGACTGTGGTTTGTGTATGGATCACCCTACTGTAGTTCCTGTCATGCAATTCCTGTCTCTGGGTTGTTGGTTTAGAAACCCCAGAAGCAGGAAGTGAGATTGAGAGAGAAAGTCTGAGACCACATATTCTGTCCACGAAAACATGGTGCTAAATCCAAACCATTACTGGGCGAATGACTATGTTTAATAGTTTACTATTGTTGCTCATAGCTTCTGGGTATTTATAATATATATATATATATATATATATATATATATATACTGCTCAAAAAAAATTAAAGGAACACTTTTTAATCAGAGTATAGCATCAAGTCGATTAAAACTCCTGGGATATTGATCTGGTGAGTTAAGTAGCAGAGGGGGTTGTTAATCAGTTTCAGCTACTTTGGTGTTAATGAAATTAACAACAGGTGCACTAGATGGGCAACAATGAGATGACCCCCAAAACAGGAATGGTTTTACAGGTGGAGGCCACTGACATTTTCCCTAATCATCTTTTATGACTGTTTTTCACTAGTTTTGCTTTTGGCTAGGGTTAGTGTCACTACTGGTAGCATGAGGTGATACCTGGACCCTACAGAGGCAGTCCAACTCCTCCAGGATGGCACATCAATACGTGCCATTGCCAGAAGGTTTGCTGTGTCTCAAAGCAAACTCTCAAGAGCATGGAGGAGATTCCAGGAGACAGGCAGTTACTCTAGGAGAGCTGGACAGGGCCGTCCTTACCCATCAGCAGGACCGGTGTCTGCTCCTTTGTGCAAGGAGGAACAGGATGAGCACTGCCAGAGCCCTACAAAATGACCTCCAGCAGGCCACTGGTGTCAATGTCTCTGACCAAACAATCAGAAACTGACTTCATGAGGGTGGCCTGAGGTCCCGACATCCTCTAGTGGGCCCTGCGCTCACTACCAGGCACCATAGTGCTCAATTGGCATTTGCCATTGAACACCAGAATTTGCAGGTCCCCCACTGGCACCCTGTGCTTTTCACAGATGAGAGCAGGTTCACCCTGAGCACATGTGACAGATGTGAAAGAGTCTGGAGAACCTGTGGAGAACATTATGCTGCCTGTAACATCGTTCTGCATGACCGTTTTGGTGGTGAGTCAGTGATGGTCTGGGGAGGCATGTCCATGGAGGGACGCACAGACCACTACGGGCTAGACAATGGCATCCTGACTGCAATTAGGTATCAGGATGAAATCTTTGGACCCATTGTCAGACCCTACATTGGTGCAGTGGGTCCTGGGTTCCCCGTTGTGCATGACAATACCCGGCCTCATGTGGCGAGAGTAAGCGGGCAGTTCCTGGAGGATGAAGGAATTGATACCATTGAATGGTCCCACGCTCGCCTGACCTAAATCCAATAGGACACATCTGGGATATCATGTTTTGGTCCATCTGATGCCGCCAGGTTGCACCTCAGACAGTCCTGGAGCTCAGTGATGTCCTGGTCCATATCTGGGAGGAAATACCCCAGGACACCATTCGTCGTCTCATTAGCAGCATGCCCCGACATTGTCAGGCATGCATACAAGCATGTGGGGGGCCATGCAAACTACTGAGTACCATTCTGAGTTGCTGCAATGAAATTTCAGCAAAATGGACTAGCCTGCTGCATCATTTTTTCGCTTTGATTTTCGGGGTGTCTTTGAATTCAGTCCAATGTAGGTTGATAATTTTCATTTCCATCAAATGATGTGTTGCCTTCCTAACACATTACCCAGTCCATATCAGTATAGATATTACCTATGGATTTAGCTCAATATCCTGTTTCTGGAGAGCCATTTACCATAATGCCCTGAAAAGAGGGTTACATTTGATATTCTCACATAACAGAAACATTAACGCCTAGGCTCTGTCACATGTTATGTGGCGCACTGTTTCTTCTCAAGAGAAATTTAAGGCAAAAGGCACATTTTTCAGGAGGAGAAATTTAAGGCAAAAGGTACATATTCAGGGTTTCACAATTACACTTACAAGATAATCCTATAAGACAGCAAACTTCCTCTCTGGGAGTATAGGTCCACTCTAAAAGGTGGTAGCAGCATAATAGTATTTATTTCATTCTTTTTATATAATTAAGACCTTCCCAACCAACCTATAGCAGACTAACGGCTAGGTGGGATGTTCCTCCTTCTGAGTGGATGTCATAAGACATTCTCTCAGAAGGCGCCGCTCATGCAGCCATGGGGCTTGATCTGTTACTGGCTGTGTCCACTGGGTGCAGCCAATGATTGATCACTACAACAGCCCACTGCCAGTGTCATGTGATCGCTGTGACCAATAACAGCAGATCACATTTGTAAACAATGGATGGCTTCCTTTCAAGCTATCCATTGTATACAATTGTGTTGTTAGCTGTGATTGGTCACAGCGATAAAATGGTACAGACAGGGCCAATCACAGCCCATCTGTGCCATGCGATTAGCTTTGACCAATCACAGCTAATCACAACATAAGACACTGAATGAATCAGTTTCATTCAGTAAAAATGGTTGCTTATATCAATGAAATTCCTTGTTATAAGCAATCATAATGTGCACAAAAAAAAAAAGAAAGATCACTTCCCCAGAGTAGTAAAGTGTTACTATAATAGCACTGTAATGCTCTGGTCACAAAAGAAATTGGAAAAAAAAATACAAAAATTTAATAAAAGAGAGAAAATGTAAAAAGTATTTTTTTTTTTTACATACTGTCATCAGTCAGTGTCCCTGATCACCGCCACACCAGTTATATGATAGTGCTGTACTGGACTAGTGACAATATGTAAAAAAAAAAAAAAAAATTACAACTTTAAAATATTCAGCATGCTTCTAACTACAGTAAATACCTTAGGCTGTCTGTACTGTCTTGGCATTTTCAGGCCTCAAGAAATGAGATCATCAATACATCAGGATTGATCGATTTTCAGATATATAGTCCATAGTTTGTGGACTCTATAAATTTCCTACAGACTAAATAATGTGCACTCATTTGGGTTATTTTCACCAAAGAAATGTAGCAGAATACATTTCGACCTAAATTTATTAAGAAAGGTTGTTCATTTGCAAAATTTTATAACAGAAACAAAGAAAAACACTTTTTTTTTTAATTTTTGGTCTTTTTTTGTTTATATAGCAAAAAATAAAAAAACGTAGTGGCGATTAAATAACACTAAAAGAAAGCTCTATTTGTGTGAAAAAATTATAAAAATTTCTAATGAGTACAGTGTTGCATGACTATGTCATTCAAAGTGCGACTGCTCTGACAGCTGAAAATTGGCCTGGGCAGGTAGGGGGTAAAAGTGCCCAGTATTGAAGTGGTTAATATATTTATACAATTGTTAAAGGAAACTTGTACTGAGACAAATATGGAGCCTGCCAGCACCCCTGTAAAAAAAACACACAAGATTTTTTAATGTGCGCCCAAGCTGGAGTCAGGCTTTAAGGTCAGTGCCTTAGAATGTATTAAAGCTATTCATAAGTATAACATCCAAGAAATTCTCAAGGTAAGCAACTGAAGACTCCATGTTCATACAGAATGTTTCTTTTAAGATTATTAGTTGTTTGATCCTGCAGTCAACAACACATTTATCCATAATACTCTTATGTTCTTAACTTTTTGTGTGGTGATACATTTTCCTGTTGTATGAGTGTTCTGTCTTGTTTACATGCTATTACTTACTTGTATACGACTGAAACTACAAAAGTTGCATGGAAGTATGGAGGTCACAGTACTCTTGAAGAAAAGAGGTTTGAAATACACTATGATGTAAATACTTGTTCTCTGTTCTTGAAGGTATTTACAAAACCTATATACTTAAGTTACAAATAAAAATCATAAACGTACCTACATCTTCTTAAGAGCTAAGAAACTCAATTAATTAAATGTATACAAGGGCATCTTAGAAGTACAACTAACTGCATGAATAGGTACGTTACAACAAAGATATGTTTGTATACTTATAAAAACAGGAACATTTTTTTTTTATAAATACAATATTTGATTTTAAAATGTATCTAAAGCCAAACGTTTTTATTTCTTTTTTAAGTTTTGAATAAGGTTTTGTAGGGTTAGACTATTTTTCATTTTTTTAATTT